TTTTCCTTTCCATCACATCCTGCTTGGGGAAAGTTTTAGCAAATGACTTAGATGGCGTATTTTCCCCAAAGGCATGCTTAATAGAAAAAGACATTTTAAATTTTTTCCTATTTCGCTTTCTAAAGTCATGGCTAGCAGCCAAGGTTATCTTAGCCAAAGTTTGGTTGTCATAAGATGTTCTCTGGTAATTTTTAAATAAAACATTAAGTAATCTCATTGTAGGAGAGCTTACAGCTCTGCCTTCTCCTGCCACCTTTGAATCTCTCCGAGCCAGAGAGAGATTTGGCAGCGGGGTTTCATTTCTTATTACAGATAGATTCCAACTACAAATTAAGATTTTAATTTGGACAAGAAAGCACATTAAGATGACCATGGCACTATTTTTTTTTTCAGCCTGATCTAAGAGTACCTTTTTCATGAAAAACAAAGGTTATGTTCTATAATAACATGCAAAAACTGTAAAAGATTATCTTCTAAAATTTTAACACTTTAAACATACAAATCAAAAGCCTATAATAAAGTTTCTTAGTTTTTAAAAGCCAAATATACCTTTTTAAAGCCGAATCTACTTTTTTAAAGCCAAATCCTGCCCCGTTTGTTAGCCTGGTTAAGAAAACGTTCCCAGTTACTTACAGACCCGGGCTTCTGTAGTTGATCCTGGGCATTGCGTGCGGTAGAATCCCCCTCACCTTTTTTAGGTGAGTTTTCCACACCTTTTCGGTGAAAACTTCCTTTTCTCGCTCCAGCGAGACCTGCACTTCCAGATTACCCGTCGGGCGCCAGATGTCGATTAACACTCCCTCCACGTTCTGCGTGGAGTAGGGTTCGGTATCTGAAAGTGGAGCCGCACAACAAATGAAAGAAAAAGACACGAGATAATTTTGCAATATTGGGGGACCAGGAGGGCAAGTCCCGAAGGACTTCCTCCTCTGTGCTTAGGTCTCACCAAGCTTTTATTGATCTGGGATGCACTCATAGCATAGCCCTTAGGCAGGTGACCCCATTAACAGGCAGACTAGCCCATCAGTAAGGATTTACATAATAAATGGGAATTAAGGAAACTAAGGTGGGGATGCTTCAGCTATTATCACCTAAATTAACTGGGTGGTTCCTAGATTAACTGGGTGGTGCAGTTCTGACCTTTGCTAGGACTTCAAAGGTTACTAGCTTTTGGGGGTCTCTGTTTAAACTCAGCTAGTGAAGACAATGAATGGACTCCGGCATGGGACTCTGTTCCCTTGGTCATGTGGCTCAACACTTTTGTTGCAGCTGCTGAGACCCTTAATAAACTTCCTGAACAACGGGGTTGGGGGCTGGCGATAGCTCCATTCAACCAGGAATGCCAGAGGTCATTCCTCCAACTTTGAGTTCCGGGAACCCGTATGCTCACATTACACGGTGTGACCAGGTGGATTCAGGATGGGCTTTGAAAGAAGAAGCATCCGAGCTGTGTTCAGACGTTGGCTCAGTTACTCCTATGCGTGTGACCTTGGGTGAGTTCCGTAACTTCTTCCAGGGAGCCTTGGTTTCCTGGTCTGTAAAATGACGGTGACAATACCTACCTAACAAGTTCTTGTAGAAAATAAATAAGGTAGCCCTAGCCGGTTTGGCTCAGTGGCTAGAGCGTTGGCCTGCGGACTGAAGGAAGGAGCTGTCAGCATATACAGGAACACTGAAGGGTCCCGGGTTCAATTCTGGTCAAGGGCACATGCCCAGGTTGCAGGCTCGATCCCCAGTAGGGGGCATGCAGGAGGTAGCCAATCAATGATTCTCTCTCATCATTGATGTTTCTCTCTCTCTCCCACTTCCTTCCTCTCTGAGATAAATAAAAAAAAAAATTTTTTTTTAAAAGAAAATAAATAAGGTAGACAATGCATGTGAAAACCTCAAGCTCATAGACTGGTTAGGTGAATTTTTTTTAATGTTTTTTATTTCTTTCCAAATCAAAAGTCTTCAGAATTTCTGATTCTAATGATGTAAGACTTTGATACTGGCAACCTCTTTTTGTCTACACAGTCACTGCATTCTCAATTTATTAGCTTTTGAATTTGTGGAGTAGAAAAACTCAAGCTGAGCTTCAGTTCTGTTCCATTATATTAGCCGCAGGGCAAATGAGAATCCACATTCGGTCCTTCTGAAGCAATTTGCAATTACATTCTTCTCATTTTCTCTTTTATGAGGTTGGAATTGCTTATTTCTATTTGGTCATTATTATTTTGCATTGAATCTAACATTAGTTTCATGCCAACAATGACACAGGCATGAAGGATTCCGACGAAAGTAGCCAAAAACATCACACAGTCATTGCTGTGCTTGTCTTCTATTTGTTTTGTTTATTAAAATCATAAATTTATGGAGAGCAGGACTATCTGGTCAGGAGTCAAGAAAACTTCTGTCCTGTTTCTAGTCTGGGAGGGAATAATGGAAATGGCTCTCTGGTCCCCAGGCTCTGCCTTCCTGGTTTTCAGTCTTCTTGCCTTTCTGGAACTAAGTGGAAAATAACACAAATCAAAAGCTTATGTGTTTCATTAAGCATTTCAGCCAACCGGCCAACATCTTAAATAATTTCACATTATCTTATTACCTTTCTTTTACAAACACCCCCTATATTTATCTATTATAGGTCATTTCTTCTGGCAGATGTCCGTCATAATTTTGTCACATTTATTTCAAATATCTAAAAGTGTATGTGCTTGGTACTTAATTATTTAATAGCAAGATGTCAGATACAACATTACTGTTACTAAATTGAAGAGACTGAGAAACATTTCTCCTGACCCACAAGAAAAAAAAAATAAAACTGGTGAAGACCAAAAGAAAATAGAAAAGTCACTCGCTACATTTAGAAACTAAAAAGAGGAGATACAAACTTTTTCAGTAATTTAAAAAATATATACAAGGGTGGGCAAAAGTTGGTTTGCAGTGGGGAGTATGTGAAACATATAATTTATTTTTTATTATTTATTTATTTATTATTGTATTATTTGTTATGAACAACTGTAAACCTACTTTTTCCCACCCCTGTATTAAATATGCTTAATTTCACAGTGAGGGATAGGAGATGAAAGAATACTTTGGTCACAACTTATTGTTTGTTAGGCTGTGGATTTCAGAGGATTCACCACTTTTTAAATATGATTAACTGTGGTTAGGACACTAATTGATCTTTATTTATTTATTTTTTTAAATCCTCACCTGAGGATTTTTTCCCCATTGATTTAGAGAGAGTGAAAGGGAAAGAGAGGAGGGGGAGAGAGAGGAACATTGACATGAGAGACACACATCTATTGGTTGTTTTCCTACTCGGGGGATTGAGCCTGCAACACAAGTACATGTCCTTGACCTGGAATCGAACCCACAACCTTTCAGTCCACAGGCCAGTGCCCTAACCACTGAGCAAACCAGCCAGGGCAGATCTTGATTCTTAAAGCTTCTGAGGATCAGATCTGCACTGAAGGCAAATACACTTGCCCTCTCTGAAGAAAAAGGTCTCACCGTTCATACCTGGGCCACAGTAACGTTAATCACAGCCGCTTTATGTCAAAGCCTAAAGTCAGCTATCTCCCGCCAAAAGAGAAGGGGGTTTCTAAGTGGGTATTATTTACCCTCGAACAGAAAACCCATGGAGTCTTGGAGTTATAAGAGGTATTAGATCATCCTTGTGTAACTGTTTCATTTCAACCTGAGGAATCGAGCTTAGAGAAGTACACTCTAGTAGTTACAAAGGTGTATGAGCATGTGTGTGTGTGTGTGTGTGCGCGCGCGCGCACATGTGTGTATTTGTGCTTGGTCGTGTAACTCTCTAAAAATCTCTCTCTACTTAAAGAAATGGGCATAGACATACAGCTTGAGATTTGGGTTAGCAAAAGGAAGCATCCTCAGAAATGAGGGTTATTTGATATTATAATGCTTTACAAAGAAAGCTTGTGTATGTCTTAAAAGGAAAGGTTGGATTGCCTTTGAGTTCTGTTATTTTATGATTCACAGATTTTTAACTACTTGGGTTTTTACCTACCCAAAAGAGAAAAGATCAAATAGGCAAAAAGTTCACCTCTTCCTTGCTTTTTTATGAAGTAATTTTGTTCATGCAATAAATCTTTATGTGAATGACTAATGAATCAATGTTGAGTCAGGTCCCTGATTTGAAGACATAAACCAGAATAGTTTCTGGCCTCAAGGGTCTTTCAAACTAAAATGATTTTTTTACCATTAATAGTAGAAAAATAAGAAACTCCTGTGTAGAGACAGCTATCCACTAATTGTTACAACAAAGCGACTATGAAGTAGTGGAGTTATTTATATATTTTTTTCTTTCAGGTCAAGCACAATTTAAAGTAGTAATCAAATCTCTTTCACCTAAAGAGTTAGTCCGGATTCATGTCCCAAAACCTTTGGACAGGAACGATGGAACATTTTTGATCAGGTATAGGATGTATGAATCTGTCAATGAAGGGCTGAAGATAGAGGTCCTTTATGGTGATGAACATGTTGCCCAGTCTCCCTATATTTTGAAAGGTAAGTGATTATTACATAATTTAGAACCAGCCTCATGTGTAGATTTCATGCTTTTCAGAATGAGTTATGATGACCTTGAAGTCATATGGAGCAAAGTAAAGCTCAATTTAACTTGAAATTTTAAAGGAAAGAAAAACTAAGTAACTTAAAGAGATATAAGTGATAATAATTTAAAAAATATTACATATTTAGCTAGGTAGTTCCATTTCAAATACTCTTCATTCTTCGCATAAGGTAAGTTGTGTTACCTTCATCAACCACTTATAACTCACTGGGAATTTATCAGCTAATTGGCCCAGAGTATATTGGGAGAGATCATGTGCTATACTAGGCTGTCTAGCAGTGGTCGGCAAACTGCGGCTCGCGAGCCACATGTGGCTCTTTGGCCCCTTGAGTGTGGCTCTTCCACAAAATACCAACTTCTGCGCATGGGCCACGAAGTTTCAATCGCATTGTACGTGTGTGCCCACACGTGGTATTTTGTGGAAGAGCCACACTCAAGGGGCCAAAGAGCCACATGTGGCTCGGAGCCGCAGTTTGCCGATCAGGGGTCTAGGGGATTGCAAAAGGGAGACAGAAAATAGGAGTGCAGGACTCTGACATAACTACTTTCACCACTGACATGTTTAGGGCAGATTTTTCCTGATAATCTTCGAATTCACCAAGAAGTCATCCCACGTTCACAACAAGGGCAGAAACAACTGCTTGCCTTGCGCTGGCTAATGAAGTGTGTGCTTTGCCTTCCCCAGGACCCATCTACCACGAGTACTGCGAGTGTCCAGAAGAGGATCCCCAGGCTTGGCAGGAAACTCTGTCTTGTCCAACCAAAGAACCACAGATTGCCAAAGATTTTGCTTCTTTTCCCAGCATTAATCTCCAGCAGATGCTAAATGAAGTTCCAAAACGGTTTGGGGAAGAGAGAGGTGCCATTGTTCATTACACGATTCTCAATAACCACATCTACCGGAGACCTTTAGGGAAATACACAGACTTCAAAATGTTCTCAGACGAGATCTTGCTGTCACTGGCCAGAAAGGTATGAGAATGAGTTCATTGATTTTTTAAAAACAGTATCATTTAAGTACTTAGTTGTAACATTTAAATGCTCAGGAGAATAATGGCAAAGGATGGAACTGGATTCCAGGTTTGCAAATGTGCACGTGAGGTGTCCACCTCCCGCGTGTCTGTACGTTCTCCGTGTCTATGGCTCTCCCTTTCCTTTAATATTTACAGGAAGTGGCTTCACCCTCCATCCCAAATAAGTAGGGCACAGGGTACTCCCAAGGTTTCTGTGAACTCTCAGACATTTGTAGCCTCAAGGCCACTGCCAGAAGTTCTCCGTTCCTGCTGCATATTCCTTCCGTTGAGATTTTACTTTCTGCGGCTGTTTTCTTCTTGTCACCTCAGAATGACTTGAATTTAGAACACAGCTTCCTTGCTGTACCCTAAACACCTCTGAAAGATACTGGGTATGGCACATTTTGTTGAAGGGTGGAGTAACCGAGAAAGGTTATTTTGTACCCATACATAGTAAAATCAATCAATAAACAAAGACCTTTAAAAATAGGTATCCCTGTACTTTCAGTCAACCACCTGCCACTCCAAATCCTCTATTTAGCCCTTCTTTCCCCATTCGTAAAACTCTTAAGTAGAGTAATTCAAAGCGATTTTTGTTCTATTTCCCTGACCATGTAGAGCAGTAGTTCTCAACCTTCCTAATGCCGCGACCCTTTAATACAGTTCCTCATGTGGTGGTGACCCCCAACCATAAAATTATTTTTGTTGCTACTTCATAACTGTAATTTTGCTACTGTTATGAATCGTCATGTAAATATCTGATATGCGGGATGTATTTTCATTGTTACAAACTGAACATAATTAAAGCATAGTGATTAATCACAAAAAACAATATGTAATTATATATGTGTTTTCCGATGGTCTTAGGCGACCCCTGTGAAAGGGTTGTTTGACCCCCAAAGGAGTCGCAACCCACAGGTTGAGAACCGCTGATGTAGAGTAAGGGGTGAAGATGGGCAATTTCACGTTTCTCATCCAGAAAGACCATTGAGGTAGTTTTCTAAACCGAAAGCCAACTTTCTTGATATGAGTTGTATAATTTCCCAAGGACACTGAATGTGTGGCTGCAATCATTTCTGATTTTGACTAGCAGTTGCCTCCCCTCTCCCCACCAGTCCACAATATGAACATATGGGCAACTGATCCTAAAGGTGGTGCTTCCTTCCTGGGCTGCCACCAGCCACCCTGCCCTATATTCCCCTATCTTGTATTTAGGTGGTTTTTAACCAGGAATAATTTTGCCCTTGCAGAACATTTGACAATGTCTAGAGACATTTTTTGTTGCCATCAAGGGAGGGTTGCGACTAGCATCTGGTGGGTAGTGGCTAGGGGTGCTGCTAAACATCCTACAATGCACAGGACAGCAAGCACCACAGCAAGTAATTACCCACAACTAAATGTCCATAGTGCTGACATTGAGAAACTCTGCTCTGTAGTGAGGACTCCTGATCTGGGGTTTATTAACAATGAGCTTATACATTACTAGTGTCCCTGTGCATGGATTCGTGCACATTGAAAGGAAATTAATTAGAAGGTGGCCAGCAGGACGGGATTGGGCGAGACAGGCTGGACACGCCCTGGAGCCAACCTCCCGTGGTTCCTCCCCAGCTGGCCTCACCTAGTGGGGTGCCACGGCTTGAAGGGTGTCTACAGAGTGAGCATGGGGTCCCTCCAGCACATAAGGTCCCACAGCCAGGTTTGTGGGGATCGGGCTGAAACCAGCTTTCCGACATCTCCCAAGGGGTCCCAAATTGCGAGAGGGTGGTTCTCGAGTGACGTATCCCAGAATTGGGCTCCCTCCTCTCTGGTTCCGGGGTGCATCACCCGAGAACCTAAGTCACTGCAACTTGGCAGCTCCTGCATTGAGTGTCTGCCCCCTGGTGGTCATTGTGCGTCATAGCTACTGGTCGGACGGTCGCTTAGCCTTTTATATATAGAGATATGAGAAAAGCAATAGGGTGTATAGTCACATCCCTTGACCTTCCGTTTTGTTCCAGGTTCTTTGCCCAGTGACTGAGAAGAAATCTAAGATAAATGAGTCTCACCTCTGGTCTTAGAGCTTCTCGTTCTCATGGGACATGTTTTTGTGACTTGGAAGTGAGGGTGGGATGTGAATACAAACAACTGTACACAACATGATAGGCCTGAGAGAAAAATAGGTACCAGGTTAAAATGCCTGGGAGGGGGAGTCATAGCGGAGGTAACATTAGCTCTGGATGAGAAAGGAAAGTGCCAAATGAATAAGTAGGAGAAGAACATTCCGTCCGAAGAGAATTAAAGTGGGTGGCATTTTCAGAGAGTGGCCTAAAGTTTACTGGCCCATAAGCAGATAGAAGATAAGGCTCAAAGGTAATAATAGGACCTTGAGTTCTAGCCAGAGAGTTTAGATCTTGTCCTAAAGGCTTAAGATTCTGTTAAGTCTGGTAGTAACATTAACTTTGGTTTTAGAAATGTGGGCAGCAATGTGGAAAACATAATAGAGTGGAGACAGTCTAGCACCAGAACACCTAGGAAGTGAGCTATTGCAACACTCTAGGCAAGAGATGATAAAGACCTAAGGCATTGACCTCGGAGGTGGAGATGGAGTAGCAGATTCCAGAGTCAAAGGTAGAAGCGATAAAGAGGTTTGATAGAGAAGGAAAACAAGGGCTTGAGTCTAACTTTGTAGATTCTCACTTAGGCAGCTGCCAGAAAGAAAGCCACTCATTCATACCCGTGTATACAATTTCAACTTCTACACTGCTGGCCAATTTAAAATGTCACCCCTGAACAGAGATAGCTGACTCTTGATGAAGTGAATTGACTGTTTATTGTCCTCATCCTTGATTCTCTGATACCACTGATGACTGAGGCATTCTTTTCTCCTTTGCTGCTATTTTCAGATGTTCCATTTTATCAGAAATATTTAAGAAAGCCAAAGAACTAAAACATTTAGTACCAAACACTGAGGTCTTCTCAGCACTGATGTTTATATTTTTGTTTATTTAGGTCCTTCTCCCAGATTTAGAATTTTATATTAATCTCGGAGATTGGCCTTTGGAACATCGAAAAGTCAACGAAACGCCTGGCCCTTTACCTATCATTTCATGGTGTGGCTCTCTGGATTCACGAGATATTATCCTTCCGACGTATGACATCACTCACTCCACACTTGAAGCAATGAGGGGTGTTACAAATGATCTCCTCTCTATTCAGGGAAATACAGGTAAATTCAAGTTCTAAGAAAAAACTTAGATATAAAAAAAGGTGAAGGGGATGTTTAGTCAAGGAAGGTATATGTATATATATTTAAATAACCATTTTTCTTATTTTGTAACCAAGGAAAAAGAGAAACAGCACCCTGTATGCCAAAGAGGTTTCTTTAGGATTCTTCTAATCCAAAAATTAAAGATACGTGAGCAGGGCTAGTGACGTGCACACCTCTCAGAGCTGAGTCTCTTTTGAGTTGGTCACTTATAACTACTATTTGAACATATATATTTGGTAAAATTGCCACTGAATTCTGACACCAATGTTTTTATATTGCTAGATGAAGTGAGAGATAATTTTGAAAAGTATAAAATGATATATACGAGAATATGATAGCAGTATCATTTGGATATTATTACCTCCAGCACTGTATCTAAGAAATTCTCCCCTTTCCTCTTTCTGCTTCTCTTGATTCTTTAAAACCTGAATTCCTTTCCCATTTTTAATGGCCTTAGGTTTATGGCACAACACACCTTTTCATTACACTGAACTCCCTGAGTAGAAGAAAGCCTGCCTTCTCTTTATAGCCTCTTTCTGTTTACTGTGGATTGGTGGACTGATTTAATAGACAAGACCAGAGACTCCTTGTAAACTATCTAAAGATGATGTGAAAGGAAAACTGACCTACTTTTTATTTGATAACAGTGAATTTCTGAAAAGTGTGCTAACATAGTAATGAGTTTGATCCTCTCCAATTTCTGTGTCTTATGATTTATCCCTTAGAACACTGACAGATGTTATTAATGACCTCTCTTTAGAATAATAGAAATATATTTACATTAATTATTCCATAATATTTCCCTACTAGGAAAGAGAATATAAGTATATGTATACCTGTGTATATGTATATGTACTAGTATATGTATATGTACTAGTATATGTATATGTATATAGATACACATAATAGCATATTAGCAAAAGTCTTCCATGAATTCAGAAGTGCTGTGCTCATAATTCTGAGCAACCTAAGGATTAAAGATGCGTGGGTGTTACTTAGTTACATATTTTGTTCTGGTCACCTTGTCTACAGACAAAAGCTGGCTCATTTTGTACTATGAAGCAGAGAAGATGGAAGAAGTGCCCTGTTCGGTGTTACTCAGTAGTTAGAGCATTAGCCTGCATGCCAAAGGGTCTTGGGTTCGATTCCGAGTCAAGGGCACTTACCTAGGTTGCAGGTCCGATTCCCAGCCCCAGTTAGGGCGAGTGTGGGAGGCAACCAATCGATCTGTCTCTCTCAAATCAGTGTTTCTCTCTCTCTCTCTCTTTCTCTCTCTCTCTCTCTCTCTCCCTCTTTCTCTCTCTCTCTTTCTCTCCCTCTCCTTACCTCCCTTCCACTTTCTCTAAAAAATCAATGGAAAAAATATCCTCAAGTAAGGATTAACAAAAACAAACAAAAAAGATGGAAGAAGCTAATGCCTTGGTGAACAGGCCAAGTCGATGAATCTCTCTTTGCTTTGAACTTGGTCCAGTAATATTTTGTATATTTTCTAATGTTGCACAACAGAAACTCTAACATTTGAGTGAGCTCTCCCTAGCAGACAAAGAAATGAAATTAGAGCATTCTAATCCCATAATGTTTGAAAATAGCATTTCCTTTAGAACAGGGGTGGGGAACGTCCAGCCAAAGGGTGGTATAAGGCCCACAAAATCATTTGGTCTGGCCCTGCCAAGGCATTAGGGGTGAGTTAATTAAATGTTTGACCAAACATAGCAGGCTCATTTTTAAGCTGATAATTTTGTATGGCCTGCAAATGATGTTATAATAGCGAAATGGCCCTTGGCAGAAAAAAGGTTCCCCACCCCTGCTTTAGAAGACGTGGTGATGATGAAAGAGCTTTAACCTCATAGATGACAATGTTAGAATAAAGATGATTACATTTACCACATAAAAGTTTTAAATATTTTTTTTTTATGGTCTCGACCTTCTAGGGCCTTCCTGGATCAATAAGACAGAGAAAGCTTTCTTCAGAGGTAGGGATAGCCGAGAGGAGCGGCTCCAGCTGGTGCAGCTGGCCAAGGAAAACCCACAGCTCCTAGATGCGGGAATCACGGGGTATTTCTTTTTCCAAGAGAAAGAGAAAGAGCTTGGAAAAGCTAAATTGATAGGTTTCTTTGATTTCTTTAAGGTATGCATTTAATTCTTCCTGGGTGGGTCTGAAGTGATAAATTTGGAAATAGCTGGGCTTGGGCCAATTTCTCCTGTCTTGTGAGCTGGCCCACACTTTCTTACCAGGCCTGGGAATTACAAAACTCCTGGTTTCCTGTTGTTAATTTTGTCTACCAAACACTTAATACTCAAAATATAGCACGAGGCTTAACCTGGAGTTTGGGTGCATTTCTTTGTTGTTGTTTTTGTTGTTGTTTTTTCAGTAAACTGGATATATAAATGTCTTCTACATAAATGATCTCAAATGCCTTTATAAATGGAAAGAGAATAAATTCCATATAAGTAACATAGGAGCTAGAGTTGAGGTTAAGTCCTGCCTCTGCCGCTAACTGTGGGGCCTTCATGTCTTACTGCCTCTGCCCTGTGAACACAGGTGCTGCTGCCTCGCTCCTCAGGGCGTTGTCCTGAGTTCAGAGGAGACAGAGATGAGAACAGTGTGACAAAACCTGACTGGCTAGTAAACTCCTTAGTATCGATTATTTAAGAAAAATTTAATTACTAAATTTCTGAGTATATCCTGTTCATCTCGGTGTCGTATAATTATGAGAACAAGGTATTTGGACTCAGAGAATAGAGGTTTATAAATTTCTCTGAATATTAGTTTTCTCACTTAAAAATATATTTTTTATTCATGTCAGAGAGGAAGGGAGAGGGAGATGGAGATAGAAACATCAATGATGAGAGAGAATCATGGATTGACTGCCTCCTGCATATTCCCTACTGGGGATTGAGCCTGCAACCGGGCATGTGCCCTGACCTCTCTTTAGAATAACAAAAATAGAATATAAATATATGTATACCTGTGTATATGTATACCTGTGTGTATATGTATATGTATATGTATATGTATATGTATATAGATACACATAACAGTATATTAGCAAAAGTCTTCCATGTATTCAGAAGTGCTGTGCTCATAATTCTGAGCAAGCTAAGGATTAAAGATGTGTGGGTGTTACTTAGTTACATAGTTTGTTGAAACTTCATCAATCAGCTGCATCCTGCATGCCCCCTACTAAGGGATTGAGCCCACAACCCAGCCATGTGCCCTAACTGGGAATCTAACAAGTGACCTCTTGGTTCCTGGATCAGTGTCAACCACTGGGCCACACCAGCTAGGTTATTGCCTTCCTTTTTCATGGGTATAAGAAATAAAAAAAATGTATAAGTAAAATTTTAAATGGTTATCAATATTCAGTTTAGTAAATATAAAACCTTTGAGAATTGTTTTCCTACGTTGTTACAGAAATATGAATTCTCCATTATAGTTGAAATAGGTATTCCTATTACCTAAAATTATTTAAAATTTTATCTTTAAATGCATTGTATTTCTTTTTAAGAAAAATATATTTTTATTGATTTCTGAGAGGAAGGGAGAGCAATAGAAACATCAATGATGAGAGAGAAACTTCATCAGTTGGCTTCCTCCTGCATGCCCCCCACTGGGGATCGAGCCCACAACCCAGGCATGTGCCCTGACAGGGAATCAAACCATGACCTCCTATTTCATAGGTTGACGCTCAACCACTGAGCCATGTCGGCTTGGCTGCATTGTGTTTCTTAAAATTGACCTGCTAATATGGTGTTTATGATTTTCATACAGAGAAAATACGAGTTACAAAATAAAATATAAACCTGCTAAAAAATAAAGTTAGGAAGTAGAAATGAATTCCTTTATGTGTAGTATTACAGTGTTGATGAGAAGCATAAGTGAAACAAATGTTAAAATGTTTGTTTATGTTTATTTTAACCTTTTAGTACAAGTATCAAGTGAATGTGGATGGGACCGTGGCTGCTTACAGATACCCGTATCTCATGCTGGGGGACAGTCTGGTTCTGAAGCAGGACTCCCCGTATTATGAACACTTTTACATGGCACTACAGCCCTGGAAACATTACGTGCCAATTAAAAGGAACCTTGCTGATTTACTAGAGAAAGTTCAATGGGCCAAGGTACACTTTCTGAATTTTAGTTTCTTCAGGCAATAACAAATTCACCAGAATTAGTTCCAGGAATTCCTTCATGACACAATTTAATTTGACATAATTTAGTCAAAAGAAATATTTTCTGAAGTTTTTATTCTCTTGAAGTAGCTGAAGAACCAATATCATTATCACTTGATATGCCCTCTGTCAACATTTTTGAGGATTTTTTATATTTGAAGTCCAGTGTTTTATAGAATGTATATATCGTTCTCATGGAATCACTATTTGTGCATATGCACACACAAGCAAAAATACTCCAAATGCAAGTTACAGAGAGAAAAGACCAGGTTACAGTGCTTTATGCCCAAGAACATATTTAAGTCAACATGGTGCTCTTTTTTCCCCTCAGTTAGAAAAAGGCCCAAGTTCATAATGAAGGCATGATATACAACATCCAAGAATCACAAGTCTCCCATAAAATAAGAATTCTTTTTCAAAAGAAAAGTATTAAAAAGTGATTGTGTTTTATTATGAAACTATAAAAATTTACCCTTTTATTATAAGACTTTACTGTTTCTAAGAAGCAGTATTTGGTTAGGGAAATCACTAGGTGCCTGAGGCAGAATAATTATTGTGACCCTTTATAACGAGTCAGAATAACTTGCAAATGGCTTTTCCTGTGGGCAGCATGGTAGAATATTAGCTATTTTCCCAAAATATAATTAGGAATGCTGACTATTCCTGCAACTAAAGGGACAGCCGGTGGGTACTGGTGACTAAATTTTTATTGCAACAGCAATATAGTCTTTCATTGGTAACATTTTATAAGAAATTTGGGACTCTGATTGCATATTTAAATGGCGCTTTTAAGAGATGTTATAACATGAAAACTGACTCATTCTATTCTAGCTTGTACTTTAATATCAAACAGAGAAGGCTAGAATGGGGGAACAGATGAGGAGCCCTAAACTTCCTGGGTGCCTAGGAAAGTACCAAGGTAGTCACAATAGAAGCTGCATGTGGGCTGTTGCACTTTGGGGAGGCGGGGGCTGTTAGTGGGCCTGTGGAATAGGGTACAAACATGCATGATCATTTCCACGTAACAGAGATGTCTAGGAGAGCACTTTGTCCACTTCCATAGCCTTGTTCTTAGGTGATATTTTCATCATGATCCATCTCTCCCATGCAGTGCATATCAAACCCCACATCTGTCCTCGCTCACACTCACTTTTAGCTTTGTCTGTGGCTCACAGGAGTCATTTTCATTCATTGTTCTTTTTCAACCTTTCAGGAAAATGACGAAGAAGCCAAGAGGATTGCCAAAGAAGGGCAGTTGACTGCCAGGGACTTGCTACAGCCACACAGGATTTACTGCTACTATTACAGAGTACTGCAGGTCAGTGCAGAGTATCCATCCTGCGGGGTCATGCTTGGCCTGAATGCCTCGTTTCTGGGGGTGCCACTGAGATTGAGCTTGTGGACTCTGGTTAAGCCAAGGACCAGCCAAAAGGAGGAAGAGTACTAAGTCTCTTGGTAGCCAACATATTTTATCTCCACTCGGTATTAACAAAAACAATGCTGACAGCCTTACAAAAATAGATGAACAGCTCCTACTATCTTGCCAGTGCCTTTTTTCTTTCTTTCTTTTTTCTTTTTTACTAAATGCCTTAAGGAATTCATCATCTAGAAAATTAGAGTAGAGGTCAGTAACATCTCTTCCCACTCAAAATGCCCACCTCTTTGTTCTTCCTGCTACTTACGAGTCCTGCTTCTGCTATCATAGTATAGGATAGAGAGCAAATATTTAGCTTCCTACATAAAACAAACAAATGAAAAATACTTATAATAGTACTAACACCTTAGAGCTAAATAACGAAGTACTGTACAAATGTTTATTGGGAATCCAAGGATTAGTTCTTGTGTAACTACCTTTACTCATGAAAATCTAGCCAGGGAGAAAAAAAAAAATAAGAACATATGTTCTTGTTTTTAAACTAAACTTATTTTTCCTGTGAGCAGAAAAAAAAAAATAAGTTTCCTCAGGTGCTTGTTGATACCAACCTCTCACAGAAAAATTTAAATGATGAATTACACCGTGTACCAGAAACAACCTTTCCCTTAGATGAGCTCTGTTCCCTCTGCTGGGCTGGTAGGCGTTTCCCTCCCTACAACATTAATTAGGCTCATGTGTTCATGTCAGTATTTTGTTGGGTTTGGCCCTGGACAAGGAGTGTCCAGCTCAATGTACTTGAAACCACTGAACTGAAATATCCAATTTTTAGGAATATTTGTCAGTGGCCAAAGGGGAGGGACATTTCACAGGCCTGTCACCATTTACCATACCTAGAGAGCATGACTACAGGCCTAAAGGAGAGATAGGTGAGAGCACCAACTTTACTTTGAGATGCTTACCATCTGATTTGAATATTCAGTAAAGGTAATTACTCATTGATGTGCGGAGGATACATGCTAACTGGTGCTGTTGTTTCCAGAACACTTGGCTTGACATCCTTGTTGTAGAGGCTTCCTACCTACACATAAAATTGTGGATTAGGGTTCCTTGTTAGATTATGAGATATCACACTAGTACCTACAATAACTAAAGTGAAAAATGTAACATCAGACCTTTGGTTTGCAGCCACTAGAAGTGACAGCATGATTGGGAAGGAATAAGGGGAATGAAGTGTGGACTAATCTTTTTGTTGCCTTTAAAACCACAATTCAGAATTATGCTGAGCGCCAGTCCAGCAAACCCGAAATACGTGATGGAATGGAACTTGTTCCTCAGCCAGATGATAGCACATCCATCTGCCAATGCCAGGGGAAGAGACCTTCAAGAGAAGAACTTTAAGTCAGCCCGGATTTACACTCCTCTGTAGGCCGGCTGCGTCTTCAATGGAAGCATCCAGACAGAATCTAAGCTACGAAGAACACAGCTTGCCAAAATATGAATCACTCTCTAGGAATACATGTACATCATATGTATTGGTTTGGTTTTTTTATTCATTGTTCGCTTTCGCTCTTCCATTTCCAGTTATGAAGAAAAAATATTTGTGCAGGGTTGTTGTTTTTTACCCCCCTACCACACAATTTCTCCTTCTACAAGCTGCTTTTGACATTCAGTAATAGTCAGCTTCCTCTTGGAAAAGTCTGATAAGAATAAGGAAGAAGAGGATGACTCTGTTATGAATGGTAGCTGGGATTCTATAGTGGGGAATATTTTTTAAAAGCTCACACATAACTTTTTAGCTGAGTTTTACCAACACCTGAGATAAAAATAAGGAGAAAGTGCCTTAAGCTAGTAGTTTCCAATCTATCACAGTTATTAAAATAGATGAACGCCCCCGATGGGACCATTCATTATCTATATACTAGAGGCCCGGTACACAAGATTTGTGCACTGGTTGGGGGGCGGGGGGTGTCCCTCAGCCCGGCCTGCACCCTCTCGCAGCCTGGGAGCCCTCGAGAGGTGTTCGACTGCCAGCTTAGCACAGCCACAGAGGTGGGAGAGGCTCCTGCACCAGCCATGAGCCCAGCTCAGAGCTTCTGGCTGAGCAGCGCTCCCCCTGTGGGAGTGCACTGACCATCAGGGGGCAGCTCCTGCCTTGAGTGTCTGCCCCCTGGTGGTCACTGCGCGTCATAGCAACCAGTCGTTCCTCCATTCAGTCGATTTGCATATTAGCCTTTTATTATATAGGATTGAATAAAGGTAACTGCAGTCAGGTGGGGATCTGTAATTCTTTTTACTATTTTAAAGGGATACTTGAAAACCTCTGCAACAAACTGCAGGAAGCCTGGTATCTTGAGATTCACTAATAGCTAACAACAAAGGCAAGCGTCCTCACTGCACCCCTCCTCCATTTCACTGGGTTGCATTGCCAAGATTAAACAAATGGAAATTTCCTCTGCCTTTAGGGTCCAAACTTAAGACTTACAGCCCAGAAGTTCGATGCACATTCCTTGTAATACCAGTTCAAGGTTGAGTTACCTGAAGAACCACACTCCAAAAAACAAGAACTATCCACACTCCCAATCTTAAAATATTTACTCCCCTAATTGAAATATTAACTTAATCTGGAAAACAGTGTAACCACTTTAAAGTAGTCATATCTATTCTTTTTTGAAAAACAATAAGAATTTTTCTTAACTAGATAAGAGCAAAATCACATTTAGGAACAATGTAATCAAAGCCAAGTATCCATGGAAAACCCTAAAACCCAAGTTTTCCAAATGCACAAGTGCACAGTATAAAATAAAGGGCAAGCTATAGTTAGACCAGATCTTAATGAATCTGTGTCATTGATATATGATACATGGAGTTTGGACTCGTCAAAGCTGAGATTATAGAAAGTTTGCCCTCCCTCATATCTCCCTGTCCTCCAAACCCAGGTCCTTTTTTTAAAAAATACATATATATATATATTTTATTGATTTTTTACAGAGAGGAAGGGAGAGGAATAGAGAGTTAGAAACATTGATGAGAGAGAAACATCAATCAGCCGCCTCCTGCACACTCCCTACTGGGGATGTGCCCGCAACCAAGGTACATGCCCTTGACTGGAATCGAACCTGGGACCTTTCAGTCCACAGGCCGGCGCTCTATCCACTGAGCCAAACTGTTAAGCCAACTGTTAGGGCAACCCAGGTCCTTTTTGATGGCTAATGATATTTTGTTAGAGACATCTTAAATTTTTAAAATTTACATCACCTGCCACCAAACAGTTAAAATTGAGTTGAGATAAGCCAGGCAGCTTCTGGCTGTGGAACAACAAGGATGTGCTTAAGAAATTAAGTGGAGCCCCTCGAAAAATTCCACTGGAAGGGAGCAGCCTTCATCTAGATAATCCTCCGTCATACCAACTCAGTCATGGCTTTAAAAAGAGTGAGTTTAGATGGCTTCCTGGTTTGTTGACATGAGTATAATTTAGTAAAAATGGGATTACTAAAACCATGATTTTTTCCTTCTTAGTTCAGACATTACCCATGATTTCCATTAGTCATTTTTAATACTTTGGTTTTCATGAAAAATACCTGATCTTTAAAAGGAGGAAAGGGATGTAAGGATATACAAGTGAATATAATAACTGCATTTGTCTAAATATCAACATTTGTTGCAGTCTTGTTTTTATTAATAAAATGTTGGAAACATCTTAAATAGCCATCATTAGGGAATTGGCTAAATAGATATTGATACATAAAGGAATACAGTACAAGCAAGAATAAAGTAGCTCTAAATGCACTATTATGAAAGATTTCCATAACAGTGTTCGGGGGGGGGGGGGGAGGGGGGGAGCAAGTTTTTTCAGAACAATATGTATAATGTGAAACCATTTATGTGAAAAACAAAAATATATCCATGTGGTTGAAAGTTTGAAAGGATATTCACCAATATCTGAGGAGGGGATGGAGAAAGGGAATTTATACTTTCTGCTTTATACCTGTGTGAGATAGTTAAATGGTTTTTACTATAGTGTGATCAGACTATAAATAAAGAAAATGCAA